AGCTGTCTGTAGTTATAAAGCTGGAATCTGAACAGTGAAAAGAATAGACAGAGCTCTGGAAAAACTCTGGAAATTAATCTAAAACTTGGGTCAATTGTAAGGAAGGCAACAGCTGAATATTAGAATAGTTTGTGTTGATTTAATTTTCTGGATTGGTACTTTCTCTTAGAAAAGCACAATGAGGAGTTGCTCCTGCTGAGAATGTGAGTTTGTACTCACATTCTTGGTCACCCCCCAAAATTGTGTTATGTCAGCTCTCTGGCATCAGTGTTTAGAGAAGTTTGGAGGTTTGGAACTGAAGTTTTAGCTAAATTAGAAATGGAATGTTTTTAAGTGCAACCAGGGACAGAGGTAGAGACAGTTTGTAAAACGCATACTCAAGGCAATGGCCAGATAGGCGCAGTATTGAAAGTTACTATTCAGTGCTGCCTCATATTTATTTAGAATATGAAATAAAAATCTCCTCATTCGCTGAAGAGCTGTTGCAAAGAGATACAAAAAAGGTATGGAAATCCCTTGACAAATCTTTACACAGGAGGTGATGATAAACAAACAGGACCTAATACCTAGCACAATGCCTTTGTAGGACATGTTTTATTAACAGCTTTGTATTTTTGCTTTGCCTGTCAGGTGAATCCTTTATTCCCAAAACTCTCATTGCAGATTTGCTGTAAAATATAGCTCTCTATTTTTAATCAGAGGATGGGGAATGGATACATGTATCCAAAAGCATTAGCAGGTAATACTCGATATCTCTGAAGGCGCGTTTATTGAATACTTCAATTTGATGGTGAACTCAAATGACTTAGTTTTGCTGTTGATGTATCATGATATTATTCTCATACACTGATGCAGGTTTATTCGTCGTCTGCCAAGAGCAGTATATTGTAGCCTTTTCATGTGGGGAGAAAAGGCAATATTTCTTTTTTGTTACTTGTAGCTCTCAGATAAGGCAAAAGACAATGTATTATTTAGGAACCTGGTGCAACCAGTTCTGCTCTCAGTGTGCCAGCTGATAACACTGTAACAGACTGTGCATATGCCTCTTTACTCAGGGAACACTTAAATAGGACTGCATTTTCAGAAAGGGAGCACTCAACACTTCCTGAAGGTCAGAGTTTCAGGTATCTAAAGAAAGAAGACAGCTAAAATAAATAAATTTCTGAAAATGTATGTCTTGCTCTTTTAGAACAATTAAAAAAATTCAGACTTTTTCAAGAATTTTAAGACTCATTTTGAAGGCTACTCTGTAAGAGTAACTATATCAGTAATGAGAAATGTAGCTGTAGATTTCTTTTAAAACTGTACTTTTACATATAGAAACACATAAACATTGGGCCATTAGCAGGTCAGGTTTCCAAGGCTTTCAGAGCCTGTCTTATATTAAAGCTATAGCTTAAGTAGGAGCATGTTTCAGTGCAGTTCATTTGTTAAATGAAAGAATCTAGAATTGTGAATCTTAAACTTGGGTGAACTGCTGGGATCCATTTAAGTTGCTTTTTACAAAAGCTTTCTGCACAGTTGGCCTTTGCAAGCTTTTGAGATAGCTGAGTGATATTGCTGCATCAGATGGGAGATGGAAATGGAGCCTTTTTCAGTGGTTAGTTTTGATTATATATCTTACTATGTGTTTTGGCAACAATTTGCAAGTGTTGTATAAGCCATACATATTCCTGGAATAACTCAGCTAGTAGTTATCTCTGAGGACACATCTTCTCTAAAAATAGAGTGACAGATTATATGTACATAAAGTTGAATTTTAACTGAAAAAAAAAATCAAATCTGATGGTATTGCTGTGAGGAGAGGTGGAAGATGATGGGAATTCCCGCTATTATGGAAACAAAATTGATTTTTCAGAAGACTATTACTACTATTTTTTAAAAATTGTCATTGTTCTAGTCTTATACTCTGCTGATACACGAGGAGTCTTGGCCACCATTACGAGAATTTCACAGTGTAAATTACAGAGAGTGCAATAAATCATCGAAACATAGTATAATATGTAGAAAATACTATACAATGAGAAGGCTGCGCAGATCTTGAATACTCTCATGTTGACTAGCATTGTAATGCATTATGGTAGAGCAAATGGTAAATATACTAGTGTTATTTGTAATTTATATTATTTTTACATATCTTCAACTTAATGGATTTATTCATGTTTTAAAATGAAAATGTGGCTAAGTTACTCTGAACATATAAACTCAAAACACTGCCCTCTAGGATAAGACAAACTTGATCAACCTTGAGGAGTTAAGAGTTGCATTATCTGAACTACTGATAGGAATTATAGTCTCTTCCACATAGCTAGAGTGGGAAAAATTAAAATGTGCATGAATAAGAGTCAATTAATGCAAATAGTCTCAGAAAGCACATGTTCCTGTCTGTTATTCTCTGAATGCTTCCTGTTCAATTGAATATATGACCTGCTGGATAATAATTTAATGATGAAATGGTTAATTGGCAGAAAAAAAACACAATCCATTTTGGATTCTTACTTGTTTGCCCACTGTATGTTTGACTGTCCTGTCTCCTGAGAAGATTTACCTATACAGCAACTCATGGGTCAAGTGAGGAAAACCATTGTAGTTGCTGAGACCTTAAAGCAGCCATTTCCTGTAAGGTACTTAATTTGATAATGTGAGTAACTTAATTTCTTGTTGCTTAGATTAACTGATCTACCAGTCTGCTTTGAATTTGAACAATCATGGTAAATCTTGTTTCCTAAAGTACTGGGAAATAGTACAGAAGTTGTTTTAAACTGCCCTGGGATGGTGCCCAGTATAAGTTCACTTCAGTTGAACACTTAAGTGCTAGTCTCCCAGCTTAAGACCAGTCTCCCTTTTCTGTGCTTACTGACATAGTTGCTTCACCCCTTTTTCCTATAATTGATGACATATCAAGCCATTCCAATGAGTCTCTTCACAGATAGTTGTAACGTTTTTCACTCAATGTGGTTTCCCTTGGTTTTATGAGCTGAACCCTTCAAATGAGCATGAAAAATAGAATATTTTTCTTCTAATTTTATATATATATAAAAAAGATGGGGATAGACACAGCTCAGAATTGCCATTCAGGCACAGCTCCAAGCATAATGGGGTTAGTGCACCAGGCAAGGTGCTGTAATTTGGAGTCTTACGTAAGACTAAAATGACAAATGCTAGTAGCTAAGATCAAGATTCTGTATTGAAGTGTAATAAATTATAAAGACAGTTAAATATACGCACTAGAAAGAGGAATCAAAGACTCAAGATATATTTGTAATTAAAGATGTCTACTTTAAGTTTTATCTGATTTTGAATACACTCTCATAATTTATGAAGCTGTATGTTCTGATGTCAAGAAATTAAGTGGGAACTGTGAACCTAATAGCTTTATAGTAAGAAAATCTACATCCCAGTTACAAACGCAAATTGATTGGTAAATCTGCTTTGGAGATCTGCTGGGATTCAGTGGATATCACCAAAGAGATGAGCATTTCAGACCAATAATGACTGTCTACTTTCAGCGTCTTTGGTAAAATCAGTTGTACAGGTGGGTAAAGAAAGAACATGCTTCCATTGAAGGGTGTAGTTAATATGAGAACCAACCCCTCACTTGCAGTCTTGTGGTCCTTCCCACCTCTGGGTAGCACTAAGTAGCAGAAGAAATGCCATTGTCTCCAGCTAAATTTCTTGTGTTAGTGACAGCACTTGACAGTATTAATTTAAAAATTACCTAGAGATCTAGACCAGGTCAGGCATCTAGTGACCTAAGTCCTTAGACTATATGCATGACTACCATCTACCTCCTTTTCCCTTTACTGTATTCTCAGAAGTATTTCTTAATCTCCTGTTATAGTAATCCAAACTCATTTGGTCCACAAGATTTAATGAGAATACTGCTTCTCACCCTATTGCTGGCTGACAGTGGAAAAGTGGCAACTCTCAGAAAGATGGCTAGTGCTGGCAGAGTACATCCAAACTTGATTGACATTATTGGACATGAGAGATGTCATGAAAAATAATCAAACTGTCACAGAAACAGAAAGCATATGGATGCCTGCATTTTTGTTTATACAGTACACTTGTACACTAGGTCTTATTTTGTTTGCAAGCTTTTATGTATGATTTTTGTTAAAGCTCCAATTTAGTTATCTTCAGCTGGTATTTTATAGCAACAGTCTGACAGGAAGGCTTGATAATCAGACATCATTTTGTAAACAAAGAAATCATATGCTATATAAAATAAATGATAAGGAATTGTGAATTACAAGGCTATCTTTGTACTGAGTTTTGGTGACCTTATGAATTATGGCAATGAGTTCTAAATGGATTATGAAGTAACCAGAACTCAGGAATAGCATCACACTCTGATAAAAGTGGGTTTCAGAAAAGCTCATTGCAGGATATGACTTTTAAATTAGATACTTCTTATTTCAGCTTCCTATTTCCCTCTCTCTTATTTAACCTCCCTTGTCTTTCATAGCTTTCTGTGAATAAAGTGATTATGAAATAATGTAAAAATAATACAGTGAAGAAGCATATATAAAACAATGAGTAATAAATTAATGGCTGAATGATGCACCAGTCCAGGCTGAATGATATACCAATGCAGGTAAATTTTTCTCATATATTCACATTATAACCAGAAATACTTTATTTATGACATGTTTTTGTAATAAATACGTATTTGTAGATGAGAGAAAAGTCTGACTTTATAGCTCGCTCTTCAACAGTAAGGAGGATATGGCAAACATTCACAGTGTTTAAAAGGAACAGTAGGGAAACAAACTCTTATGAAACGAGGATAGGTCTGACCTAGGTACAAATCTGTAATGAACTTGAGAAGAACCAGTTTCTTGTGTTCTGGAGCGTCTACCAGGTACCCAAATACTTCATTCATGCTTGTAAAAGTGTACTTAAAACCATATAAGTAACCTTACAAAGCTGTAGGAATTGATTGATCTATAGTGATTGTGTGCTATTTTGATTGTTAATATTGTAAAGACAGTACTAACCTGATCTGAAGCCATGTTAGCATCGGTGTTGTGCCCCCACCAAGTACCCAGACTGTGAAAAGCACGATAAGCAGTGCTGTTGTAAACATCATCTGTTTGGGCTGGGATTCTGTGTCTTGAATAGCCAATGCAAATGCTATTGCACCACGTAAACCTAAAAAAAAAAGGTCAAGAATTATAAACTTAATGTGATGGAAAACCAGAATTTTACTCTTTTCAGCCTAATCTTTATTCCTAGGGCAGAAGAAATTTTCAGACCATGATTATATTTATAAAATGCTGAATTGTCCTGATTGAGAGGATGGTGCTTAATGCAATGTAAGCAACTTTGCAAAAGTGGACAATGAAGATTCACGTAATATTCAAACACTTTCTTTACATCCAGGGAATTCTTTGCATTGAATAATTGCAAACGAAACGGTAATGAAAACTTTAGGCATGTTAAAAAAGAAATCTATTCCCTGTGTTGATTTACTGACTTCAGTGGGACTACTCATGAAATCAAATGCAAGTGAGAAAGTGTTGGCATTAAAATTGGTACCCAAATAGGTTACCCATTTTTTGCTTCAAAAAATAGATTTCTTTAAAATTTTATTAAAATATTCTAATGTGTTAAGAACAGTCAGAAAAATAATAACTTGAAACCAATGCTTCTTAAAAGAGGATTTTAAGTATTTAAAAAAGGGGATACAAAATAATTGTAGATTTTTAGCTCTTAATGTACTTGAAATATTGCAGTAGTTGTAAAATTATACACCTACAGAGACTTGAATAAACAAAACCTTACAAACATGGAGAAAATAGTTAACGAGTTTAAAAAAAGCCCCATAGGTAGTAATAAGCTGACTAAATAGGTCCTCACAGACTGATACATTTTAAAAAAGAGGGGAAAAAAAGCCTGCTAGTGCCTCCAGCCCTCAGGATCCATAAAACAAATAATACTCTATATTTCCCAGTGTTTTTCATGTATCTATTTAAATTTACTTTATAGTATTCTAAAAAAAAAAAGTAATCCACAAAAGAAGTCTAGAGATCAAAGCCATTACATGTATACATTACACACTGAATCCAAAATGTACTTTGCAAGCATTGAGAGAATAAATCTAGTAATTAAACCTCTTGTAAAGCACTGATGGTATATGCAGAATGATTTAATCAGCTGCTAAATGCAGCTATTTTTGAAATAGAACTTTAAAGCTTTTTAAGATTACATAGCTAGAATGTGAATTATTTGGTGTACAAGAGGGGACAATTTATCCAGAGAATAACACAAAGCCATTTCTGCAAGTAAGTACCAGACTGTAGCTTTACGCTAGCTGAAAATGGTTAGTTGCAGCAGGTTTAAAATCTCTGCTTGTATGAAAATAACGCTACAGTCAACAAGTAGTCTTGTCCTTGATTTTAGTAAAATACATCTCTAAGGATGCACATACCTTGCTATGTTCTTATGGGAAAAGAAATATCAGCTTATTTTAAATGTATCTGAGGATGGATTGAGCCACTCTTGAAATGATTTTTTCCTGGTGGTTATAGTGGTAATCTCTAGATGACTAGCTCAGATGAAATGCTTAAATTACTTATTGATGGCTTTCTTTGGGTGGACAGCAATGCTGTTTTCCACAACTGCATCACAGATATGTACAATATTAAATTTAGACTATCTCTTTTGGTAAGAGGAAATATACGTATGTAAAAACATTGATTAATATGTCATTAAGACTCTGCTTATTGAGCAGTAGAATGGGTATTTCTTCAGTTTAGAGAAAAAGTGAGTGCTTCCACTGCATTTTTCATTAATGAAAGGCTTAACATAGGAGAGCTAATTCAGTTGCAACAAAAAACATGTCTAAAGTCAAATAAATAATCAAACAAAGCATTTGTTTCCAACTAAAGCAGTGGGATGCAGACGAATGCAAACTAAAATATAAAGACTCAATGAGAAGCAAGGAACACTATTATATATATGTAAATACATGCCAGGTAACAACATGAAGGAAAGGAATTTTAGCTATCTAAGAAAAGACAGTAAGATGCTGAAATAGACTGAAGATAAGGAAGGTTACATTTTCTGTAACACCTCAAGCAAAATGCCAACGAAGCACAACGGAATGATTTGCTCCAGTGGACTTTGGTACCCTAGCTACACCTGGAGAGAGTGGCAAGTAGAAGGCAAACAGTGATGAACCATTAGCAAAGATTCTCTCCCCTCATCTCTCAGAGATGCAGCACTGATAGCAGCTCCACTTCTGTGATGTGATCTGTTGTTCCTTTGGGCTCTATCACATATTTTCCATCAGATTTTTTGTGCTAGCTGTGCCAACCATTAAAGGATACTCTTTACTGTGTCAAGGCCTCTAAAATCACCCTTAGGGTTAAGATTCAGAGGCCCACAGAATAGAAAATGTGTGTCTTATTGGGCTTTTACCCATTCTTTGCTCCTGCTCCACAAGCACACATCACTCTGAACCCATCCCCCTAAAGAGCCTTTGAGGGCAGTACTGTTTGTGGGTAGCGTGGAGAGAATCTGCCATGAAAGGAGACTTTCTGTATGTAAATCTGGTGTTTTGGTTTCAGCCACAGTTCTCTGCTCTTTTCCTCCTTGCTCTCTTTTCTCTTTTAGCTGATTTCGTATCTGTGTTCTTGGACAGGTTCACTTTGACACTTCCCACCACCATTTATGTGTGAGTGTGCAGATGTAAATGTCTGCACGGCAGCTGCCTGTACACAGGCATTCCTTTTTGTTTTGCTCCTGCACTTGTGTTTGACTCTTTCAGACTCTGCTGCTGTTGTAAGGTTTTATTTTAACAACAGCCACTTTTGTAGCATCGTATCCCACCATACTCTCTCTTGGTGATTTTTATGCTGTAGAGAAGAGGGAAAGCACAATAAAAAGTAAATAGAGATATTGGACAGAGAGTGGAAGGTGCAGGATTCATGTTGTGAAATAGTCCCCTCCTGGTCATGTGCCAGTAATGCCTAAATATCAGACATGTTAGTGCCATGAATAAGCACATCTGGATCCATTTAGTTTCCTTCCCTCTTAATTTTTCTTACCAGTTAAAAGCATCATAGCAGGGACTGAATTGAACTGAGGCATTTTTCATGCAGCATGGAACACTAGCTTATAGTCATAGCTCACTTACAATTTAAGACATTAAAATGTTTCTTTTTCACATGAGCAGAGACTGCTGGCATCCACATTTTAGCTGATGTTGAACTTAATCTGAGAAGCTCAGGCTTAATTATGAGAGGACTAATCTAGTTTTGATTTACAGTGGAATACTCTCAGGAATTATGATTAAACATGTTTGTAAAAGTAAAGTGAATCCACCCTCTGTTATGTGGTGTTAGAGGAATGACAGAAGCAGATGAAGAATGTAATAGATCAAAATGCTACATAATCACTTCCAAGGCTAACTCTTCCACCTTTTCTCAAATTTGTTAATACACCTCAAAAAGTAGAACTTAATGACTTCAGTAGAATTCTTTGCAGAGTAACGTATACACAAATGCTAATCAGCAGGGCACTTGCCTGACCATTGCTGCATTTTTCAGACTTTGATATTCATGGTGATTATGGCAGTAAAAGTGCGTAAGTAAAGCAGTAAATGTTTGGAGCATTCGTCAGTGATAAAATGAAAAAAAACCCAAACCTAACCCCAAATTCATTTTTTAAATCTGAGTGTGTGATGCTGTGGTGAGCTATGCCCAGTTTTCCCCCAGTTGACTAGAACCTGGTGGTACACCAGAATATTGCTGTTGATCTTGTGTAGGCAGTAACTGTCTTCCTCCAAACTCAAATTCCATGCTTTGTTTACTTGTGTCAGAAGCATGTCTCTTAGGGCAGTAATTTTCTTCTCTGTTTATTGCTATATACAGTATGATCAGTTTCTAGTAAATATGAATGTTACTGGTAAGTAAGCACGAATCCTAGTGCCTATTAAAAAATACAGTTACACAGAAACCTTATATATCCTAAGTGTTCTGTGAAGTGTGAATCTGCTGGCAGTGTGAGAGGCAGTCAGTATTTATTGCTCTACTTGCAGATGATGCCATTTACTTTTTTTATAGTGTTGTAAAGACATTTTTCTCTACAAAATTCAGTGTTTCTTTGAAAACAGTTAAAAACTGCTTTTCCAAGAATTTGAACATTTATATTTTAGAAGATTTGAATGTTACTATTTTCAGTTCTCAGCTGCCAGATTGTAGTGGAATGCTAACATGTGACTTCTCATGTTCAGTTGTTAGCTGCAGGCTGCTCTCTGCTGCTAGCTCTAGGGAGAATGAAATTTGACTGGAGAAAACAAGGACAGAAAAGGTGAATAATAAGATACAGTTCTGAAGATTTTTAATTCTATAGTTTAGAAAGCATTCTTTCTATACTTATAAAAGCCAAAACAAATAATTGAGTCCAGATACCAAGTAACTAATAATACTAAGCTATTTCTCATGCTTTTGGCCACCTGCTAACTTTACTTGGGTGATCTACATATAAATCTTACATGGCTAACGACTGTAGGTGAGCAGGCAGTCTGAAAGCCAGTTCCTAATGGATGTATGTCATCATCTCTCACTACAATCTACCTGGTATTAACTGACATTTTCAATGGCAGCTTTTAGCAGAAGGATTGAATGGATATAGAAATGAACCACTGTGTCACTGCCTAGAGAGGTGAAATTACATAGGTGCACAAATGAGGCACCCTGATGTGGAGAACTCCTGATAAGGAAGCTTGAAATCTGGTGCATTTTATTTTTACTTGTTATCTGGCTAAATAGATCTGTGTACATCAAGGCTGTCAATCAAGAACTTTTATCCATAAAAATTTGGAACGTGTTTTTGTATAAAAAGCAGGAAAATGAAGAAAATAAAATTTTATAAAATTATTTCATAAATGGCATTGTGCTACTGTGTTTCTGTCTTTTTCAAAACAAATATTCTTAGCTTATAAGTCAGTTTTTCCCTAACTAGCATTATAAAGTCAAGTGGAGATATTTCTAGCTTGGGGAAGTCAAAAAATACAGAATCTTGCTGCGATTTTAACAGTACAGGTTATGATGCACAAATCAGTATAGAGCATCACCCTCTTCTGGATTTATTTTTTTTTTTTTTAGTTCTATAATAATAATCTGTTAAAAATAAATAAAATCTGAATCTGGAAAATAAAGTATTCAAATATCAGGCTGGCATACATATGAAGAGTTCTGTGTAATTAAATTCTCCTAGTCTTACGTTTCAAAGTAAAACTGTTCCTAAAGCTAAAGAACTTACCACAGACCACTGATTTGAGTATCAGTACTAACACTTTAACAGTTGCATCTTTATTTGCTGGTACATAAGCATCCTGTCAGGTGTACTACAAATACCTCTAAAACACAACAAAAATACATGGTATCCCAAATTGACATGGGAGTGTAGACAGATGGAGGACAATGGGTTGAAAGATCAGTTTTCTGGGTGGTAGGTTTCAAAAAAGTTCATTAAAGTAGGTCCAGAGCATAGTGAAGTTAATGAGAATACATTCATTTACTTCATTAGCTTTGAAAAGACTATAATGAGTTTTAAGATAATGGTAACTTTGTAATAAATGTGGCTTTTCTAGTGTTAGATTTTTATCTTTGTCAGTTGTTAAATGGACAGGAAAAATAGCAAAATAGAACTTACCTGAGAACATCATCATGTGCTGAAAGTTCCTGGCAATCTTTTGTTTTCGACCCAAATTCAAAAGGAAAGTAAGTGGGTATATGTTGCAAGCTCTTGCGACAAAAACTGCCACCTAAAATGTAAAATGTTGAGGAAAATGGTGGACAAACTTCTGATAAAACCAGTTAACTTAAACCCAGCATTTATCCAAATTTATTTTAAAAGTGTAATTAAAATGAATATGAGATTATATTCCTTCATATTTTACATGTCAGATCTTTCTGGTTGCAACTCCATTATAGAACTGTTCAGTGGCAGAGACTGTCTTCCACAGACATCCTGGTTATATATTCATTATTACATATCCAACTTCAATCACTCCACTTCTACTCATTGCACTGATATCACATGTGACTTCATCTTCATTCCTGCAGTAAAATGGCCAACATCAATTGCAGAGATGGCATTATCTCCTAGAGCAACAATCTGCAAAGGATAAATGTGCTTTTGGACATGATTATTGCTTTCTTATTTCCTGACAATTCATATTGTCTAGATCCAGCAATCTTGGGTTTGTTTTTTTTTTTAATGCTTTTTCTTCAGTGATTTTTCTAAAGGGGTCCTCTCTGACTCCTGTGTGATGATCACAAAAGTTGTCTTAATTAGAAACATGAGGTTATTTCAGATTAAAAAAAAAAAGGAGACAATCAGAGCTCCTTATATATGTTTTTAGCATGTTCTGCCCTTTCCTTGTCTTGTGACTCTTAGGGCTCAGTTTTGGCACTTTTAGTCTGGGAGATGCTGTGGAGCTTAGAATACGGAAAATACTAGAGTGGCAGTGTCTGTAAATTTTGTATCTGCTGGGCTAAAATCTGCTTAAAGCTCCTATGGACTTGGGAGAACATGCATTAGCAGCGGTTGCTTCACATGTCCTGTGCAACCCTGTTGTGGTCTGTTGGCTCTTAGTGAGAGGAAATGATAGAGCCAGGTCCCTGCAGTGCTCTGCAGTACAGTCTCCACCTGGGGTGCTCAGTGCTGTTCCGACATTCAACTGTCTTCCCATGCTAGGAGTGCAGGACACAGTACTGTACTCACATTATTGTGGTGGTGGGGTGGAATAGGCTATCAGGATCCTCTCTGCCATCTAACCCAACCTGTAGCCAAGGGAGCTGTGATGCAGTTCTTAGTATTCGTTTGGAAATGACAGATAGGAATTACTGCAAATAAAGAGTATGATCCCAACTTTCAAAGCTATTACAGTTCATCAAAAAGTGATAAGCAAAGGGCTGCTGCTCTGAGCCAAAAGAATCATTGTGTAAATTGTCAGTGTGAAAAGAATCTGTACCACTGTACAAGAAAGCAATAGATTTATTGAGAAACTATGGCAGATTTAGACACAGACTCTTCTTCTTACAAATCCTTTAGGTGTATATAAATCCATGTACACTGAAAACATGACATACAAAAAAGGAAAGATTGGAGGAATTCAGAACTGTTTTATTTTTAAGGACTTATTATCATTTTAGGTAGCTTTGGGGAAGTTCTGCTCATGGCACATGTCTGTCTGGTGGCAGCTCTATAGTTTGTGGGTCTGCACTGGCTCTGGACAGGCAAAAAGGTTTTGTGTGCTTGCACCTGTCCCAACTTGTGTCCCTGTACACATCGTAATTTCCCACCCCACTTGTAAACTGGTGGCAAAAGTTCCCCACCTGGATTAAAATTCTTTGCCTTATAGCAGATCTGCAAAACAGCAACTGCCAGAAGACCATGTGCTTACATGCATTGAGCCAGTTATTGAAATATATGCAATGAAGATGATTGCCTTTTGACTTGACAAAAAAAATGATTTTTAGTATTTATTGGTTTGCTTGTTGACTTTTTTTTTCACATGGAACATGTTCTTTATATGTATAAATATGTATATATACACACATACATGTAGATAGATACATACTTCTTTAAAGCAAAGGATACAAATGCACCAAAGATAAAAAGAGGATTGAAGATATGATTTTGAAATGTGAATAGTGCAAGTCCCATGTAACAGAAGATGACATTCTCAGCCAAAAAATTCATGAACTCGAACAACTTAAACGAGAGAGAAAGAACATAATTATGACTCATGCCTGTAATGAACTACTGTTTGCCACCAGGTTCCTGGGGAACACAGAACTATTTAGATGAAAGGAAGAGAAATTGCACCTATTTCAAGGGTGGATTTCAAAACCATCTAATTTGCTATACCATATACATGGTGTCTTTTAGCTTTAAAAATCATAGTTGCTTGCAAGTTTTCCTCCGATTTGTGTATGAAATCTTGACACAGACAACTGATGGAATATATAAACAGCAAGTAAGTTATACAAGCTTCAAGGCAAACTGTAAGGAAGTTGAGGGAATTTAAGCTCACTCTTGTTTACACAGGTGAGCCTGTGGAGCCACAGGGAGCTCCTGATTGCACAGTGGCTATGCATAATACAGTGCTGGATATGGGTTCACTAATGTCAAGAGAGAAAAAACTAATTCCTAAATGGACTTCTAAGAACCTATGCCCATAAAATATAACATGATCTTTTTTTAACTACCATGAATATTATGCTGCAGATGAAAACCTCTGTTGCGGTGTAGGAACATCAATATCAATTACTCATTTCAAACCAAACTATTTAATATATAATATAAACATATTATAAAATAAGCATAAAATACATGACCGTGGTATGATTTCTCCTGTGAAAAAAGCAAGTAGAGCCAAAATATTAATTTGCCTTGAGGGGATGTTCTTGATTGCATTTGCAGCTGATTCTATAAAAACTAATATAAATTTTCGTATTTATTCAGATCTGGAAAAAAAATCAATCGTTGCTGCCAAATAACTACAGAAGAGAGAAAGAAAAGGTCTTTTAACTTCTGAAGTTACTTTTGGGCTCAGGAGACTATGCTAACAAATCCTTATACAGAATTAGGGCTGAAGTTTGTCAATCTGTCTACAGCCAGTCATAAATCTCTATCCAGAATGTTACTATGGAGATATTTTATTCATCCTCAATGGGCTTATGTATTTTTTTGTAACATATTTGTGCTTCTAAAAATAAATATCCAATAACAGTCACTGAGATCTAACAAAGGAAAAATGAGAGCTGTCGACATTATTATTTTAAACAAATTTCAGAGGCAAAATGGCATAAAACCTACTAGTATATGGAGAGATTTGGGCCCATGGCAGCACCATCAATTATCCTAAACAAACATTCCATAACCCCCATTTTGTGCTGCAGTGCTGAACAACATGAAAGCAAACGAAACATTCACCAGTTAGTGGACTTAAATTATTTCAGTTAAATTTAAATGAGAGAAACCAGTTGTCGAAAACCATCAAAGTATGTGATCTTGTGACCCATGGAAATTATTGTGATAAATCTTTGCATTTCCATTTTGGGAACAAACACAATCCCACTTCTTTGTGGGAATGTCGTTTGACACATTTTTCTAATTCTTCAAAAAATGCATGAGGAGCATCATGACAAGATCTACATATATATATACACATGCATAGATGTATGTGTATATACATATGCATATATATACACATATATAAAAGTATTTGTGTATATATAAAAACCTTTTGATGGAAGCATACTGTTATGAGGAGCCACAGCAGCATACTTCAGTTGTTGGGGTTAAGATAAAGGTGCTCTAGTGGTTTTAAAGTTGAATGATATTTCACTCTTCATTTATGAAATCTTATTCAAGACTTAAAGAAATGTAAAGTAGATTTTCTAAAATAGAAATTGAAGTTTCTTTCTTATATTTTCCAAACTTTTTGTTGACACAGTTTTAAAGGAAAACAGATTTTGCTATATCATTTTCTCTGTTGTATACTCTTTCTCAGTTATCTGTAACAGTAAATTCAAACTTGGTCTTGACCAAAGTGCACTGGGACAATGTTTTCTGTGCCCCCATCATAGGTCTAATTGTTTTCTTAGCCCATATTTGCAGTGTACATAAAACTTTCTAGTCATTCATCTATGTCAGATACATGCAACATTGTAATCTATTGCAGTTCTGGAATCGTATTTGCTGGGCACCAACTTTGGTTTGTTTGCAAGAGCAAATATAATCCAAATCCCTCTTTCCCTCTTTTTTCTTTTTTTCTTCACCTGTGAATTTTGGTGCTGGGCTGTGCTGGTTCCCCCTTACCCCTTATCTCTAGTTTTCTTTGCTTTTTGATCATTCACTATCAGAGCACTGCCTACTTGCCAGAAGATTAAATCCAGATTAGTTTCCTTCCTTTGTACAGTAAAAAGCCACGTACTATTTCAACAGCTAATTTAGAGAAGGCTGCTTCCTATTCTAGGCACAGCCATGATATGGCCTTTTATGAATGATTCATCTCTTCAGAACGGTAAAACTAGCTTGGTAGCTTCATTCAGAGTCTTTTGTATTCCTTATGTAGTTTGCTCCTCCTTTTTAAAAAGTCTATCACTCTTATGACACATCTATTTATGGAGTGCAACCTAACCAAATTTCTCACCCTGAGTTAATATACAGAAAAATAAATTAAAAAAAAAGCAACTGCTTCAGACCAGTTATTGTCATAAAAGAAGTGATATCTGGATCCCTTTTCATGGGACATAATTCTTGTGGAAATAACACAAATGAATATTGTCCTTCAGACTTCACTTTTATTCCTGTATTCAGTGTAGTGTTTTATTTAGTGTTTCTTCAACTTCTGTGTTTTTTTTCAACAGCAATACAGAGCCCATGAAGATACTCTATTAAGCACTTAACTGTCAGTGCTGTGCAGCATAAAACCCATCAGAACAGAACAATTTATTCTAAAGAGATCTTCTGAAAACCATGTTAAGAAAGAGCCTCCATAGATTCATTTTCCCAAATAGTTATGCTTTTCACACGAAAGTTTTTGTCACCATTTTAAAAATGAGATGTCAAGACCTTTTTATGAGAAGCAGAAGAATAGGAGGAATAGGTTTTCATCTGGAATTTATAATTTCCTGGGACACCCAAGTAGTTCCAAGAAGAACTGCAACCTCCACATTAACCTCTGAGAAACATCCTTTTTTGTCTGAGGGGCGATAATGAACATGATATTGTCCATGGTCTGCTTAAATGCCATTCAGGAATGTTCCTTATTTTGAATATATGTACTTGCAAGTGGGATTACTTGCTTTCAAAAAAAAAAAAAAGAAATTAAGATTAGAATCCTAGATATTAAGTCCTTGGAATATTTTGTCTATAACCATAAATTCCTTTCCCTTGCCTCCTGCACAGATAGCTAACTTCTTTCTACTCTAAATGAAATTGGCATTAAATTGCTCACATGCTGCCATTAGTTTTCCCAAGGCTATTGGAAAATTATGCTAGAAACCATTTATAACATAAACATAGTAATAAGACATTTTTTCTGTATAAAACTAAAACCCCTCATTTGTAATGTGTCATTTCTACACTTCCACTAAGTCTATAAATCTGCTGATAGCTTTAAAGTAAGAGTTGTAATAAATCACCAATGTCAACACATTGCAGAGTAGAGTGTTTACAAAAACACCAGTTTAGAACCAATTCAGGCACTTAAGCTTAGGGTCTTAGCTCAGTGGGTTAGCAAAACTGATACTTGGTTTGCTTTGTTTATTTTCTCTGTAAAAAGTCGATATTACAAAAGATTAATGTTAGAAAGATCTATTAAAATAGACATAATATTTATGCATTCAAAACCACATCATTCACCAAACATGCTTAGTTTTTCTGTTATTCTTAGTTATTTTAAGTACTAAGAGGGATATGCAAAAAATCAGCTTTGAGTTGGGATATTCTTCTGAACTTGCAGTTCATTTCTCACTGCCAGAGCAAAGAATCAGTCCAGGTTATCTACACCTTAAGACTTGCTTTAAGTTTATCTTATAGTGATGTTTTATTTTAACTCAAGTGAAAAATTTAATATGATATAAAAACTGTATTAGTTTTATCTTTGGAGTGAGATAAGGGAAGTGCTTTTTCTCTTCTCCTTCCTTCCCTCCACCCTCCTTGTGAAAATGCCAACTACCATGATTTTTCTTAGATTGTAAAAGCTTTTATTATAGTCTAATTGCTTTATTTAATCTTTCTCTTTTGATTAGAGATTTCAAAATCAGAAGAAGTTTTGAATTTGAACCTCTTGCCTGAAATCCTTTATACAACTATAATGAATTTTCACAGCACAGTGATATAATGCTCATTTCTAGAATAACATACTTAGATGAATCAGCAGAAGTAACTCAGATTCATGACGGAATACAAACTTGTTTATGAAGTTAATTTTGATATCCAAGCATGTGTGACTGTAAACTTACAAACCCACTATCAAAGAGAGATTCTTACAAGATCTTTCATGCCCTGCGGCAAAATTCTGGCCTTTTTTATCAGTAGGGTTTGCTACTGAATTAAATGAATTTCACCCCAACAGATTTAAGGAAGGCGCTCAATAACTTTCTATTTCCCTGTAGAGCTGGGAAGTTGAAAAGATTCCTAAGGCCCGAGGAAGAGCTAGGAAAGTAAAAAGAGAAAGAAATAAAGAAAACAGCAGCACCAAGTGATAGGAAAAAGCCAGCAAGGTTTTGTATTTACCCAGTATAGATTAGTCTGTTCTGGCATAATCTTTACACTGCCATGAAAGTTCTGATACAGGGACTCTTCATTAGGGACTATAGTGATAGGACAAGTGGTAATGGGTTCAGACTTACATAGGGGAAGTTCAGGTTAGGTATAAGAAAGTTCTTCCCTGTGAGGGCAGTGAGTTGAAACGAGATGATCTTAAGGTCCTTTCCAACCCTAACTGTTCTTTGATTCTGTGAATACACTTCTGACTAGCAACAGTAAAGAAAAAACATTGGCCCAGACATCATGGCAAATCCTTTCTATTATTAAAAATGCTATAGGTTTTGAATGGCTTTGCTGGGTAGGAGAAGTTTAATTAATTAGACAGCTAAATTAGAATCTTTTTCTTGTTCTAAACTACTTGGAGCAATGAAAATCAGAGGGAAAATAACTTACAAAGTAAAACATTCAGAACTTCTAAAAAGGTTTGACCT